TTATATTTGCCTCATAAGAATGGGCCTATGGGCAAAAATGGGTTGGTCCAAATTGGGCTTTTATTTATCCACATAGGAAGGGAAAAAAGACCCATAACCCAACAATATCCTAATCAAATTGCAACAACTTTACTAGCAACGTCAATGATTCCTTTCCTTTGAGAGATAATTCGAACAAAAATTAAAAAACTAAAATTCCTCTACCAAACTGATTTATGCATGCCACAATGGCTACTATAATTTTAATAAAAATGAATGAGCAGCATTTCTTATATAGTGGTGAGATATGTTCAATGTGTTATTCTCTATCTATAACTACAAGAATATATATAGACGGGATATAATAATTTTGTAAATATTTAAATGTAATTAAAGACTTACTTGATTTTTATGTAGTGGGAGGAGATTTGTGGCAAGGGTGAAAGAGCTTTCCTGAAATAATTATATCTAGTCAAACAGTGTCATATAAATCGAAATAATACAGAGAAGAGTAATACATAAAATTGAAATTCATAGAATTAAACTCACTGTTTATCACATGCAACCAAACTAAACCATATGGGATGGACTTTTTCATTCACTACTGTTGTACTACCACTACTTCTACCTGTTGTTGTCTCAGTAGTAACTCCAACTTGTGCCACATAAATGTTTGTTCCACCAACAACAACATTGCCACCAACAGGAGAAAGAGAAAGAGGAGGAAGATTATTTATTTCTTTGTTCTTTCTTCCAGGTCTTCCTTTTTTCCCTTAATTAGTATTATTACTATTACTACTTGATGACGCTTTTGTAGCTTGAACAGCATTTTGTTTGGTAACTTTGTGTTCCTTAACTTTTGATGAAGGCACATACTCCTCGTCTTCTTCTTCTTCATCATTGTCGTCCTCATTTTCATAATCATCATGAGTGATTAGTGGATTACTACTAATGAACTTTGGAGCTGACTCTTTGGAATTGTCTAAGGTATCTCCTTTTGTTACCAATTTTTTTAATGGATCCCATAAGTCATTCATCCCATCCAATGATTCAAAATTTTTATTTTTCTTTGAGATACCATTATTTTTTGAGGACTCAGCAGTATAACCAATATTCTCAACCTTCAACAAGTGATCACAAGTGTTAGTACAATTCTCATTCACTAAGGACATTCAAAGTATTTAGAAAAATTTTTAAGTACAAGTCAAAGAATTCAACATATTGTATATATTGTGCAATGTTTTGCCAAGATTTGTCAATTTGACTTCCTTTGGATGAGGATAGATCTGCCTCACGAATCTTGCTCCAACATTCAACAAATAGCTTAGAACTTATATACACCTAGGTTGAGAATGAGTGTGATCTACATATGTACATAATTTGAATAAAAAATAATGGTATTAGTTTAACTCACATAATCCAATCAACATTTGGCTTGGATTCCAACAAAGTTGATTACTTTCACCTAGCACATGTTGAACATTAACTAGTTGTTCAAACTCTTTAATGACTAGAGAAGAAATAACTACCTAATACTAACATATGATCGACCTACGATATTTAGAGTTTTTAAAAATGTCAACGAATGTGTGTTGAATTCTTCAAAAGTATAATGTATTTTAAAAGAATCCAAGTCAAGTACGATATTAAAAGTAACAACTTAGCGTATGACTAATTTGTTCTTGTTTTTATATGTTGAATAGTTTTGCCTGAAAGAAGAGGAATGCTTGAACTTTCTGGTTGATCAGTTCCCTAATTGCATTTTTCATTTTACTTTGTCCCAATAAAAATAATTCTTTTTTCCATAAAACAACAACTATTACAATCATGACTAAAGTCTATTTCAATTGTACCTGTCGTTTATAATGAGTATCATTGCTCGAATGAAGAGGAATGGTTGAACTTCCTGGATGCGCATCTCCATTATTGGAATCAATTAGGATTATTTTCTGAACTTCCTCTTCTTCTTCTTCTTCTTCCTCTTCCTCTTCCTCTTCCTCTCACCCTTCCTCTTCCAGTATTACTACTCGAAACGTTGTCGTGATTCAAAACTTGATCATCAAAAATTGTTGTAGTGTTGACTGTGGAAGAAAATAATTTCTCCTTTCTCATTGAGCTGGTAGCAACAACAATAGGAGCAGGAGGAGGAGGCGATGGATCAATGAGCATTTCGGCACTATAATTGAGATTAATATCTTCCTGAGCTAACTTTTCGGGTTCGTCTTTTTTAGACTTTTCTATTAGTCCAAGCTCAATTAATTCTCTTCTTTTATTTGAAAAAATGTCTCTTATTCTTTGCATTTGGTGATCAAACCTGTAAAATTAAGCATTATAAGGTTATATCAATACTTATTTTACACACGTATGCACGTACGCACACGCGCACACATATATGTGAAAGGGTACGGAGGATGAAGATAGAAACTATGAATTTGGATATAATTTATTTAAATTTTTAAAAATGAAATGCATATATATATATTTTAAAACTACACTAAAAAATTCTCCATATCAATATAGCTAATGAATCATAATATGCTTTATGGAAAAAAAATTGACTCCTCAAACAATAATACTTGAAACATATAATGTTGCAACAGGTGCCTATGGTCAACATAAGAAAATCATCAAAATACATAATTTGACTAAGAACTTGGGTACAGATCGTTCAAATTTTTAAAAGTAAAATTGTATATTTGCAAACTACATGAAAAATATTGCAAGTCAATCTAATGAATGATTCAAAATATTGAATTTTTATTATTTGGGAAAAACTATAGTGAGAGAAAATATTATTTGACTCCCCAAATAGTAAAACATCCACAATAAAATGAGACAACAGAAGTATATAACTTTCTTTGTTCCATTTTATGGAATACAATTTTCTTGATTTTTCAAGAAAGCTTACTTATTGAAAGGTATCAAAAAAATATATATGTAACTATAATTAACAATTCAAAATATTTCGAGCAGATAATTATATATACCTGATTTTCTGCAAGGGGGTAACACCTAAATTCATATTGCATTCTGGACAAACATTCCATTTCTCTTTTGATATCTTCCTCATTATGCATTTCTTGCAAACTGTTAAAAAATTAACATAAATTAATCAAATTTCATAAAAAAAAAACGTAAAATAAAATTTTTTTGACATGTAATGTATTAAGAATAAGAAGTGATAGGAAAAAAGGTGTTTGAACCATATTTAAACAAATTAATCGTACAAGAATGTTTATAAATAAATAAATTGTTTGATCAAGAAATATGATATGTACTAAGTTCATGTATAAAAGACCTAGACCACATAAACCTTGAAATGACACAAATTCTATCGGAAATCATTGGAAAGAACGATTAAAAAAAATCAAGATCATTAATTCACAGACACAAATGACAAAAGATTTATCAATATCACTCAAATAAAAAATGAAACCCCAAAAAACTACATTTCGATTAATCATTTTTAAAAAAAAAAATTAAGAACAAAAAAAATGAAATTAAAAATTCAAGATCCTCAAATGACGAGAACTAATAATTTATAAATCACTGAATTTTATTTTTATTTTTTTAACAAAAAATAACAGATATAACTATATACACCATTGTCTCACAAAATTGTGTTTGATGATATACAGAGATATAATGTTATTTGGATAACTCCGCCTCGATGAGAATAAGAAAAAAAAAGGAAACACATACCTAACAAAATACAAAATTCAAGATTATGAGATCACAAGCACAGTGATTCATCAACATCACTCAAATAAAATGAACCCCAAAAAAATTATGTTTAAATTCATCTTTAAAAAACATTGTAAGAACAAATGGTTTATCAAAATCACTCAAATTAAAAATAAAAAATTCAAAAAAATTACAACAACAACACACACCATACTCTCACAAAGTAGGGTTTAAGCCTACTGACCGCAGAGATAAAATTGTTTTCTGGATAACTCCGCTTCGATGAGAATAACAAAAAAGAAAATAAATAGAACGTAACAATGACAGTCCGAACATCAAGATCATGGAATCACAAATTCAAAGAATTTATTAACGTCACCCAAATGAAAAGATAAACCCCAAAAAAAGATTAAAATTTTCTTAAATCTATGACAACATTCTTCAATAATTGTGACATCTTTGCATAGCTTTTGCAAATTCCACATGTCAAAACACACTTTAAACTAGCTAGATGTTTATGAAAATCACTCATCTTCCTTACACTGCAAAAAAAAAATCAAATATATTTATTCCTTAATTATGAACATATACATTCCAATTTTGCATATAAACCATATATTAAAAAAAAAATCATACAAAGAGAGAAAAAGAATTAAGTACCTTGTTTTCTTGATTCTTGACATAGGAAATAAAAACAAAGAAAGACAGATGGATATAAAGGAAAAGGGGGAAGAGGCAGGTTTTGCCGTTTTGGGAAGAAGTAACAAAAATTTAAAGAAGCTTGAATTTTTAGGATTGTTATAATTTGGATAATTAATATGTGTGAAGAGGTTTTTGAATTACAAAAAGTAATGATATGGACAAAATTGGTTTTGATATGTTTTGGACATAAATTCATATTTCATTCTTGTAAAATTTTAAATTATTTTCTAAATTTTATTGTTCTATCGATCAAATTTAATTAAAATTTAATTTATATCTGACCCAACTCAACTCATTTTCTTTTAATTTATCTCCCGAATTACAACATTGGATCCGTCTATTTGATATATATTTTATGCATGTAATTATTTACTACGATTAATTTTATTATTACGTAATTTAATAAAGTAAAATATATTTTAATTAATTAAAAATTAAATAAAAAGAACTGTAAATTTATACACATGACGTGCATAGATTGAATTAGTGTAGACATGTGCGGATAATTTTGCCTTTCACTTCTACAACATAACCAATTATATCTGTTAGTGAAAAAACTTACAAGATAATAAAATTGCAAGATTACAATTGAAAATAAAAATGAAGAAATTAATCTTTTCAGGCTGAGGCGCAGATATCTCGCTCTCTTTAAGGAGATTCAAGCCCACTGCAGCAAATGTTTTCACAGGTTCAGCAGTAGCCCTCTTTCACTTGTCCCCTCCAGGATACAATAGTCTTCACAAAGTATAACTCAACAACTCTGAACAAGAGTTGAGTCCAAAGCTCCACAAAAAGAACACCTCCCTTCAACTAATAAGAACTCTCTTTTAGACTAACTCTTTCACTCTTTGTTTTCTCTTGTGTTTTGTGTGTGTTCCAAACCAAATGAAGACCACCACTATTTAAACTACAAGAAGTCTTTCTAGCAATGAATACGAAGATAATGGAGGTAGTAAATAGTGAAGATAATGGTCTTAGGAGTTTCATTGGTTACAATAGGAGTTACATAGGTTACAAAGAGTAATGGAGGAATTAAGAATGAAATAAAGTGATGAACAACCAATGCTAATGGATGATGTAGAAGTTACACATTCCAATGTTTATTGGAATGTTTTTATCTCTACAATGAATTCAACCAATAAAGCAAAAAGTAATGGTATTACATGATTACCACGTCAAAGATGAATAACATGATTAAATTGGTAGTTTAAAACGCAAATGTCTACCAATGGTCATTTTTATAACTCCAAAATAAAGCAATTTAATATGTCAAATATTAATATTAAAATGCTAATAACCTAACAATATCAAATAAATCTAAATTTACTTAACCCAAAATAATTTCTTCAATTATTTCGAGTCGGCAAAATAAGATATTTTTTTACATTATTGAGCTAGTATGTTGGAAGGGTGGCTGCTCTAAATCATCCAGAAGATTTCAACTTGAGAAGAGATGGAATTAGCAAGTTTATTTTTTTAAGTAGGAATTTTGGTTGACTCATAGTGATGTCTAATTTAGTTTATGTGCACATTAATTAATCAACAAGATGATACCATTCATATTTTTTTTACCTTTATATTTTTTCCTATAATTATTTAGTTTGAGGCAAAAATTTAGGCACAGAACAAAGTGCTTTAATCAAAGGCTAAAAATTATATCATTTTTATTCTTTACTATTTATAAAATATTCTTTTAAATACTCTTTTTTTAAAAATTCTTATACTACCTCAGAAGAGTTTAAGCTATGTTTCTCATATTTCAGTTAGAAGTTGGAAACTTGCAATTTAACAATTAAAGGTTAGTTTTGAAACTAAAACATTTAATGTCCTCGACGAAAGTGTATCGTCTGCAGAAATTCCGATTTGAATCGTTAGTGGTTAGAAATTCTCGATTGACTAGAAAAATTTCCTAGTTCCATAGACTAATAATCTTTTAGTGTTGTAGAATAACTAGCTCTCATCGTTCTCTCGACGATTTAGAGTTGTTTTTTCGACTCTTATAATAGTGTTTGTATAGTCTAAGTAAAGATTAAGGGTTATATTAACCAATGGACCGACTAAATTAGATCCATTATGGGTATATTAGGATCGAAAGATATTTTTTTGAAAAACTCACTACACTTTGATCTCGGGATACCTGAGGTAAAAAATTGGAGTAATTTATTCTAGATGTATTGTATCCAAGTAGATTCATATGTATCTGGGATACAAATGATATCAGGTACCTGCAAATACATGTATCTAGTGTGATTCACATATATCCGAAATATATGAGTAGCTCATCTCTCTCCCCATATCGCATACCTTTCTCCATACTTTAGTGTATTCGATATAAAAAATTTATGTATTACCATTTAGTTATATCTTTTTTTAATCTATGATAGAAAACTATTAACTAATGGCAAGATACGTAATTATTTGAAAGAACAGAAAGAATTAATAAATATGATACAGATGTATATCTAATTAGATGTATATCTAATTAGATGGTTTCCTATTCTCTTTAACTACAAAAATTAATGTCATATCGACTTTAAAAATCACAAAACTTGCACGTGAAATTTTAAAATTTGTAATCTAAATATCATTCTTCCTTAAATCAACATCAATGTTTTGATATTCCCTTTTTATATTAGTGATATTTATCGAAAAAATAGTGTTATCTCAACAATGAATGTCCATCATAATTTGAAAAATATTCTTATGAAATTTTATTTTAATTTTACCTATTATTTAGTATATAAAAATCTAGACCTATAATGTTGTTTATACCAAAGGTATTTAGATCTTACATTTAATAAGATTTGTGATGATTTACATCACTTTTATTTTTTGAAATGAACAGTTCTCATATTTCAGTAATATAGCCTGCACATGAAATTTCGAAGTTTTTTCTAAATATCATTTCTTAGGTCAGTCTAAACTAAATAAATTTGATAGTAAATTTACAATACATGCAACAAAAAAAATTGATGGTAAGGGTATGACAATTCAATTCAGTTAACTATATTTTAAAAAATATAATGCACATCGTGCACGAGGCGATAGCATGAGATGCACGTTTACTTGTTAACTTTAGAAAAATTCATGTGTATATGTATATATCTATCATGAGAAACTGACACAAAATAGAATATAATTAACTGTGCACCAACGAAGAGTATATGTTTGTCATTGTGTTGGTACAAGCTACAGAACCAACCACGAGACTTGGGGTTCAAATCTAGCTAGAATGCTATTTTATTGTTTTTATTTCTTAAGTTTATCTTAGATGTAATATTAATATACCAAAAAAATTTAAATTCTGAATTTACCTATGATCGTGCCCGCGTGATATTCTAGTTTTGCCAAGTTGATTAGGCAAAACAGGTTTTTGATTTTTTAACTACGAATAATGAAAGGGTGGATCTTACTTTTTAATATATTTAAATTGATTTTGAACTTCTTAAATAACATTAGAAGATGGTTTTGATTTGAAAATTAATGAACAAATTTCTTTTTTAATTAAAATAACTAAATAAGGATCAGTACTAGAATTTCTAAATCCGCATTCAATTAAAATTCTTTAAATTTATTTTTATATACAGATAAACTCTAAATTATATCATTGAATTTTGAAAAATAAGTTAATGATATGTTAATAATTGAAATGTCCCTACATGAACAAAAGTAACTCAGCAATTTTAATTTTTTATCAATTTGAACTATTTCGAATGATCTATAGCTGTCACCACTACAACGTAATACAATAACATAAAGGCATAATAAATATATTGGACTCTAAATTTGTCTTCGAATTTTAACTTTGACTTTCAACTTTCATAATTCACAAAGAAACACTTTAACTATCCAACTTTTAAATAAACAAAGAAAAAATTACATAAGTGAAGGTCTTTTATTTAATAATTACCACTTTTAAGTATACTTCTAATTTATTATCATTTTTGTCAATTTTTAGCAATACTTACTTAAAACAATTTAAAAACAATTTTATACATATTTAATACATTTATAAGACAACACTAATTCATAATGCAAGCTTCAGCTTAAAAAATTTCAGAAAACTTACATATGTCATACAGATGAATCATAACAATTTTTAACACACATTTAATTTTTTTTCTCAACACTTATAATTCTTATGTAATACAAATAAATTATAAGTAGTATTTTTAACACACATTCGATAGTGATAATATAACTAGCAAATTTCATAACAATTCATACATAAGGCCATGTGTTAGTACTTAATTAGAAGACAAAAGAAATGATCCAAATTCTTATAGTAAAGTAATCAAATTCTGAAAATACTAAAAAAAATTCTTTATAATAAGGCGTAACATTTTTGCAAGTCTTCATATTGTGATCTTGTTGTCCACAGTTTAAGTTGAGTGTATCTCTTTTAAAACATAATTACTTATTTTAAATATACTTTAACTACATAAAATTTGTATCTATAATTAAATCTTGAATTAAAAATATATTACACTCATATTAAAGTTGAATTAGAAGTGAATTAAACATGAACGCAAAATGTAGCAAACAAAAGAGCACTACGCAATTTGTAAATTGAATAAAACTTGTATTAATAATGAATTAAACAAGTAATTCAATCATAACAAATCAACCAATAAACTGCAAAATGAATTAACTTGTATTAAAAGTGCATTACACAAATATTAAAGTTGAATTAGAAGAGGGAATTATGCATGGATAAAAAAATATAACTAATAAAACACCTGACAATGATCTATAGAGTGAATTAAGCTTATATCAATAATGAATTAAACGAGTAATCTAATAGTAACATATAATAAATTACAAATGAATAAATTTGCGTTAAAAGTGTATTACACAATATTAAAATTGAATTAGAAGAGAAAATTAACAATGAAAAACGTAACTAACGAAAGACGAGACAATTATTTTATAGACTGAATTAAACCTGCATTATTCATGAATAAATTATGTATTATAAGTGCCTGATAAATTACTTTGGTTTGTATCTCTAAGAACATGAGTGATGTTTGCAATATATATTGTGCATATGTTATGAATGTATTACATGTTTTTACTTAAATTATTTTGGTTACTATCACTATAAGGAGTGAAACTTATAATATGTATTCTAAATTTATTATTCATTATTTTAATATAATTTTAATACAATTATAAAACATATCTAATACAACTTTAATACAATTATAAAACATATCTAATACAACTTTAATACATTTGAGATATAGTTCCATAAATTTCACTTTTTTTGAATTATAAGCTAATATTTCTCCTAAAA